AGGAATAGGGAAACACGTCATGTAAAATACAACAAACATACAAACATTTACAATTTCAACTTTAACCATTAAATAATTTCATAGTTTGACTCCTGCAGGGAGGATGAAGGGATCATCCAAACTATATTTCCAGTCCTCTTAATCAAATTTTGAATTTGGGATCTGAGCTTGACAGAAAGGTTGCCAAAACATGTAGTTATATCACGAATAGCAGATTCAACAATCTCCATATAGAATAGTAACATGATGCAATTATTTACTCCATGGACCCTCAGCCTAACAAAAATGCAAGTGCTGAATGATCCACATGATGAACCCACTGTAACTGAACATTTCAATCCTTAAATGTTGTCACTTGTTCAAACTTCTCTCCAGTCATTAAAACCAGGCTCTCAGAAAATCTCTCTGAAGTCAGGTCTGCATGTAGATCATGAGACACGACTCACAGCTTTTTCTAAAAGTTTGCACCTGCTGGTCTGACTGAAACAATTGTGTGTGATTGTTTCACAGATGATGGTAATGGTCCTATCCTGGTGAGTCCTGTTCATCCTGTGCCTGAGGGAGCTTCTGTTAGTCTGAGCTGCAGTTTGAGAACACAAAAAATACTTTCCAATGTGTTTTTCTATCACAATGACAAACTTATTCAAAATGATACCCGAGGGGAGCTGAAGATCTCTGCAGTGTCAAAGTCTGATGAAGGTTTCTACAAGTGTCTGTACTCAGGAAGAGAGTCAGCACAGAGCTGGATGTCAGTTAAAGGTGAGCAGGATCAAAACATTTGATGGATTTTAATGGATTTCATGCTTGAGAAGGAACATTAGATTGTCTGTTTAAAGGCTTGAAGTCACCTGGATCTATTTTGTCAGAACTTTTATAAAACTATTATGTAATATCTGTATATTATCAGGTTTAATATCGTTGTGATTCAGGACTCAAGTGAGGGACTCAGGTGAAAACAGCAGAGGATGTAATAAGTGAAGGTTTTTTTACTCAAACAAAGGATAAATAATTTAACACAACAGATTGTGAGCTTTGACTCAGTCAACAAGAACAAAACATAAATGAACCTAAACTTAAGGAGTGAGTCCTACAA